TTTCCTTTACAAACACTGGTAAAAACAAGCAAAAAAACAACTGTAAACGTTTAATGTTAAACTAATCTTTTATTGACGAATATCTGTAATTTATACGATCGAATTGATTGGATGTGCATGTATTTTTGTTTTGCGTTTTTAACGCAACACTATATCACTTCTGCAGCATAATGTCACTTGTGGTATTCATGGAAAAATGTTAAATTTAACGTATCTGTCAACCACTAGAAGAAAATGAGCTAAAGCATTTTTTTTTTCTGTATTCCAGCTCACAGCCCCTTGCACAACACATTCTACAAAAATAGTTTCTTCCTCTTATTAAGATCAGAGATTTGAATGGGAGGTTCCTTCTGTGGAGCAACGCAGTATTCAACCTCCCTCAGATGTTTATCATTTCTGCTGTGGCTGCATGACATTAACAGGATCACTATGAAGAATCAAGTTCTCATCACATTTGTAGTCTCATCTCTGTGGCTTCAAGGTAAAAGGATAAAAAAAAAAAAATATTTTCTAAAGTAGTAAGATTTTACAAAAAAAAAAAAAAAGCAACAACAAAAGAACAATTATTTTGTACTTAAATTTGGGATTTTCTCCACACAGTTTACTGCCAGGATGTGAGCCAATACCCTGAAATCAGCTGGAATTATGTGTCCAACTCTGCAGAGATGAACTGCAGTCACAAAAAAGATGTGTCTCATAACCAGATGTACTGGTACAGGCAGCGTCCAGGGGAGACCATGACCCTCATTGTCTACACAGTTGTAGGTGGAAAGCCAGACTATGGTGGGGACCCTCAAACCAAATACTCAGCCATCAAAGAGAAAACAGAGAGCGGGGCTCTTACTGTGAAAGACTTGCAGCCTGTGGACAGCGGTGTGTATTTCTGTGCCGTCAGCAAACACAGTGATGTAAGAAGCGAGCAGCTGAACCAAAAACTGATTGACACTATAGGTGAAATTAGAAACCAAAATTTGAATTTATATCTTACAGTAGGGGAGCGGAGCTGAGAAGATGCTCTTCAGCTTAACACACACAGACTCAGACATTTACTGTAGCTGTGTTAAGAGAGGGCATTAATACAAGAGGTTAAAGTGAACTGTGCTGTGGTGTTTAATTCAAGCGCTTAGAGCCACTCAGTGTTCTGTGTTCATTCAACAGGAGGTCAACATGTCAAACATTATTCTTTTTATCTTGGCTCACTGGTAATCACTTTTACCTTTCATTCAAGAATACCACATTATCAATAGTTCCTATACAGTTCATTCAGTTTATTTCTTTATTTCTAGTTGTTTGTCTGGGTGTTGAAGTCCACCAAACTCCTCCAGCTCTCCTCAGAAGACCTGGAGACAATGTCCAGCTCGTCTGCAGCCATGGAAAGACTGACTATTCACTGATGTACTGGTATGAAAAATCCCCTGGAGACCGAGCTCTGAAACGCATCGGACATGTGTATTACAGCACCATAGAACTTGAGCAGTCTTTCAAAGAACATTTTAATATCAGTGGAGATCTGAGTGGAGAGACCGCAAAGAACGGCTCTCTGTTTATAGTCAATCTAAAGGCAGTTGAGCACAGTGCAGTGTACTACTGCGCAGCAAGCTATGCACACTGACTGCAGATCCACTCTCCTTTGTACAAAAACTCTGAACTGACTTTGATCAACAGTTATGGTTTAGAGTTAGAACCTGAACAGGCCCCTCCCAGCAAGCTGCTGTTGATGTGATGCCATTATCTCTGCCAGGCAGTATACAGAACTGTTTCATCTTCATTTCACTTCCCTTTTCACACCTCAGTCAGCTCATAAGAGGCATCAGTTGGATCTCCACCTTTCAGTGACAGTCAGGTCGATCTAATGTCAGATCCCAGCAACTTAAAACCCTAAAAGTCTGTGGTACATAGTTTGGACATGTTTGAGTAACTGTTTTATTTTGAGGAAGTGAACATGATCAGTTTTCTCTTTTTCTGTTGCCTGTCAGGTAATATTTTTAGCAACAATTAGCTCTTATGTGTGTGTAATGTAGAAATGGGGCTTATTTAATTTCTTTCACAATGTAATAAATGTAATAAATAAAATTAACAATGTCTCCAACTCTCACAGCAGGTATTTCACTGGGGGTTCAGATCAATCAGTCTCCCTCTGCTGTCATCAGAAAGGTCGGTGATAATGTTCAACTTGTCTGCACACATGGACAAAGTAACTACAGAGTGATGCTGTGGTACCAGCAGTTACCTGGGGACAACGCTCTGAAACTCATTGGATATGGATATACACAGTTCAGAAATGACAGCGTGGAAGAGCCGTTTAGAAAACACTTCAAATTAGCTGGAGATCTGAGTGGAAACAACAAAAATGGTTTACTTTCCATAATCAATCTAAAAGCACTTGAACACAGCGCAGTGTACTTCTGTGCTGCAAGAGAGGCACAGTGTGTCAAACACCCATCTGCCTTTGACAAAAACCTCTTCCTCTCTCTCCGCTGTAAGTAGGTAAAATAGTACATTATCATCTGCAAAAGCAGCTCTTCACTTGATCAGAGTTTAAAACACAGTTACCATCCTACTGTTCTGTATTAAAAAAACAATTAAAATTTTTTTTTTATATATTTCCCAAAGCCAAAGCCTTCCATGGCTTTAAAGTCATTAGCTGATATTGGATTCTCCTAAATTTGAACTGTAATCTCTTCAAGAATATCCTTCAAAAAAAGTCAAGTTGCCCAACAGTCTTCAGCTGATCAGCCCAGGAAACTAAACGTGAAACAGATTAGAGAGGCTCAATTCCACATAGTAAATGCAGATTAATTTACCTTGTTGAAAACTTATAGCAAAGTCATTAGAATGAGTACAGAGAAATGCCACCCTTCATATTCTTAAACTTAAAAAACCCTACACAGGTAGCATTTCTGTGCAGCAAACATTTATAGTACACCATGATAGAAAAGCCTCAATATAATGTGTAGATGTGAAGCAAAAACCCAGTTACACAAAACAAAACCAAACACACTGAATAAAAAAGTTTCTCACCATATACTCTGTTATCTCTACATCACTTCCTGCCCCTCCTTCTGATCCACAAAGCACAGCAGAGACTCAAGCTGGTTCTTCACATTCAACATGATGCCATCTTGTCTCATCGTTTCCATCATCACTTTGTTCTGGGTTAAAGGTATTGTACATTCAATCGAGGCCACTTTTTTTTTTAAACACTGGAGCGCTAGTGTAGGAATCGAGGAAATATATATCCAATGTCCATGTTCTTTAATCTCATATACTACTATAAGCACTACTTAACATTGTGTCTTGATCTCTTTACAGGAGTTTACCTCAGTAAAGAAAAACTAGTATTTCAGACTCCAACTGAAGTGTTGATGAAACCAAATGGTGAAGTCAACTTGAGCCTCACACATGAAATCCCGAGCTATGACACTGTTCTCTGGTATCAGCGCTCACCAGGAAACACTTCCCTAAAGCTCATCGGCTACGTGTCTTATAAAACTCCTAAGGTCGAGTCAGAATTTAAAATTCACTTCAATGTGAGTGGAGACGGAGAGAAAACAGCTTATCTTCACATCCTGAACCCGAGACACCCTGAAGAAAGTGGAGAATATTTTGGAGCAGCAAGTATGTACACAGTAATAAAGACAGTGACTCTCTCATACAAAAACCTCCACAATGATCCAGCAGAGAACAGCACACCAACAGGAAACCACTGGAACCACCTGACACAGTGTCAAAGTTCTGAGAGTCTTCATTATTACTGTTCAGTAGAAAATATTTATCCTTTTGCTGTGTACATTTAGGAAGTAAAAGATGATGAGAAAAACCAAGAAAGTTAATAAGGTTCCTTTTATAGCACTGTTTCCAAAAATCCTGATTTTAGCGGATATATATACTTACCAGAAAAATAAAGTCACAAGGATATACTGAGTGGTTATTGCACAGTCATAGTAAACTATCTGCTTTAACTGATTCCCTCAGGTGACAAAAAACTGTCTGTGTGGATCAGAATCATAACAGTGTACAGCAGAGAGCAGTGAAACACGCTGACATGGGGGCAGTTGTAAGCTCCTCCTTCCTCATTACAAATCTGATTGGCATATATCTGTTTAAGTCCCAGTTAAGAGTTGAACTATCACAGGGAACATTATGGCTACATGAGGATTGTCATATCCAGTAAAAATATTGTTTAAAATGTTTTTCATTTTGTTTATTTATCTGTGTTTGCTCACAGGTGAGAGTCATAAGATATGTGTCATTTCTCATGCCACTAATAGAAATGTCTGTTTACTTTCAGGTTTTCTTTTTTTCCCCTCTAGACACTGTGTCATCATCGCTTATAATCCAACAATCTGCAAATCTTCTAATAAAACCTGAACAAAAAGAAGCCCGCCTTGACTGTTACCACGGAGACAACAACTATCCATACATGCTTTGGTACCGGCATCAGTCAGCAGCAGGAGGCCGAAGGGCCATGGAGCTGATCGGACTGCTTCATTATGAAAAGCCAACCCTTGAGAAGAACTTTGAAGCCCGTTTCAACATCACGGGCCATTCGAAGGGCAGAGCGGAGCTTGTTATCTCCAACATTGACACAACAGACAGTGCAGAGTACTTCTGTGCAGCGAGTAAGCACAGTGACTCAATTTCCCTCTCGCCTCTACAAAAAGCTGGAGGCCCACAGTATCAGCCAAGCACCTGCATCAAACCTACGCTGCATAAAGAAGTGCTGAGAGTCAAAAGTCTGTTCTCACACAGCAGCTGCTGTAGTTTCCGATCCCTGCTCTGAGAGGACAAACAAAGGTATAAAAGACTGGATACTGATACATGTTACTGATACATACAACACAACTCCTCCCATGACTCCCGAATGGTAATGAGTCTCTCTACTGCACGGCTTCCCTTTGGTCTATTTAACACAGATTCTGATGTCATTTCCTCCAGTCTGATCTCAAGTGCTGGCTCGTTGCATTTTCATTCACTTAATTTCTTCTTCCTAAATCAAAATGATTGCAGCCTTCACCACCTTGGCACTCTTTATGCTCTGGGCTGCAGGTAAAGAGAATTTCTGTTATACACAGGGACATAATGTGGCTTCCTCTGGTGGAATTTGTGATGAAAATATTTTTGGTGTTTAATATACACTTGTGTCATTAGTTGCTTTGAAGCTAATTTAGACAGCCTAACTAATACTGATGTGATTTAGTACATATGTGTTTATTATCCTGTGTTACAGATGTTTCTCTGTCTGTGCTCATCACTCAGTGGCCCCAATACATTTCCAGTCTTCCCAACGGCTCGGCGGAAATGCACTGCTACCAGAATAACACGGATTATCAATATGTGTACTGGTACAGGCAGCTGAGAGGACGAGGTTTTCAGTTAATTGTGTCTGCAATAGCAAGCACTGCAAACTTTGAAGAAGGATTCAAATCTGGTTTTCAGGCAGTGACATCGAAGGAGAAGCAGTCATCTCTAACAATAACCAGCGTTCAGACAAAAGATGAGGCTGTTTATCTTTGTGCTGCCAGTCTACACAGTGCTGTGGCACACCTCAGGTCTGTGACAAAAACATAGGCACTAAACCACACAGTGAAGAAGTTGATACAAGGGACTTTTACTACACGTTGTTTCACATATTAATGGAAAGAAGGTAGAAAGAATGGGCATAAGGGTTTAACTGCTCTCTAAAATTGAAAATGACATTATTGGTCAACAGTTAAAAAAAACAATATTTAACACAGTTTTCCTGACAAGCGACCGTCTAGAGTCATGCAAATTATTGTCCTAAACAGATTCAACCAATAGGGGGAGACACAGCACATGGCATGAAGCTTTTATGATGACAATGTGGTGATGAATTCACAGACACAGACACCCTCCCTCCGTACCCTGAGCCTATTTTCTCAGAACAAAACATACATACAAAACTCTCACCTTCCTGTGAATGAGACATTTGCAGATGAGGCGTTCTCTCTTGATACATCATTGGAGGAGGCTGTGTCCCTCCTGCAACAGCACAAACTTG